CAGGAAAGTGTCCAGGTGGGTTTGAACATCTCCAGAGATGGAGACCCCACACCCTCTCTGGGCAGCCTGTTCCAGGGCTCTGGCACCCTCACAGTGAAGAAGTTTTTCCTTAAATTTGTCTGGAACTTCTGGTGTTCCAGTTTGTGCCCATTGCCCCTTGTCCTGTCACTGGGGACTACTGAAAAGAGCCCGGCCCCATCCATTTGGCCCCCACATTTCAGATATTTATAGACATTGATCAGATCTCCTCTCAATCTTCTCTTCTCCAGGCTGAAGAGTCCCAGCTCTCTCAGCCTCTCATAAGGCAGATGCTCTAGGCCTTTCATCATCTTTGTGGCCTCCACTGGACTCTCTCCAGAAGATCCCTGTCCCTCTTGAACTGAGGAGCCCGGAACTGGACACAATACTCCAGATGTGGCCTCACCAGGGCAGAGTAGAGGGGAAGGAGAACCTCCCTTGACCTACTGTCCACGCTCTTTTTAATGCCCCCCAGGACACTGTTGGCCTTCCTGGCCACAGGACACACTGCTGGCTCATGGCCAACCTGCTGCCCACCAGCACACCCAGGTCCTTCTCCTCAGAGCTCCTCTCCAGCAGGTCACCCCCAACCTGTACTGGTACATGTGGTCATTCCTCCCCAGGTAAAGGACTCTGCACTTGCTCTTGTTGAACCTCATCAGGTTCCTTTCTGCCCAGCTCTCCAGTGTGTCCAGGTCTACATCATTACTGTTGAATTCATGTTTTCAAAACAAATGAGATGATTGGAGTCTTTAGCCAGGCTGTGTGCCCTCAGGGCTTACAACTTCCCTGCAGGAAGGGCTTGCTTACAAATAAAGCACCCGGATCAAGTCACATTGCCACGTCTCAGACTCCTACTTAAACCATATTTCTAGGGACAAGTTGCCAGGCTAATATTCCTATATGCAGTCCATTGCTGTTTCCACATGTTCACGCTCCTTTACCAAATACAGGTGAACATGTAAAACATTGGACCTTTGTAAAGCCCCCTGTCAGGCCATGGGAAGGGAATCTAAAGCAATACCGAAGTTACAAAGCTGTTCAGCACTGGATATTTAAAATAGGGACCCATTCAACTTTGTATACAATAACTGTTGTCATGGGGTTATTATTTTTGCACCTCCATGAAAGTCCTCAGACTCAGGGAAAAGAATTAGCTTTTGTACAGTCTGAACTTTAGGATAAAAATAGAAATAGGAGTTTAATTTTCTCTCATGCTACTGAAATTGTTACATCCTCTAAAAAAGGTGCCAATCTAAATAGTGAGCCAAATTAAATGAAGGAATACTTTTTATAGCCAGAAGACAGGAGCTTGCAAGAACTACAAGTATTTGTTGCTTGCTGCACTTTTCTATCATGAGGCAAGCAAGCTCTAGACCCTCATGTCCACAACTTATCCATTTTAATTCTTCTGAAGGTGAAAATTAACCAGTGCTTAAAAAGGAAAACATTACAGATCCTTAAAAAAAAAAAAAAAAAAAAAAGGTCAGCATAATTCAAAATTTTCTTGGCTGCCATCCTAGCACCTGGAAAGCAAAGTGACATTTCCTACATGCTCTTTTTCACAAAGGCATAATTGCAGCAAGAACTTTTATTATTGATTACATTTGGGCATCTTCCAGTTTAGCACTGGCATTTAGTTCTGAATGCATCAAGTCAAGGCAAAGCATTAGCTGTCTCCAGTGGTTCTCTTCAGACATGTCCTCAGAGGTAGAAGATTTCTCTCTGCAGACAAGGTACTTCACATCTAATATGTTCGCCAAAGCAACTGGCTTTATTTACTTTATTTACATTCAATGGACTTTGCATTAGGTTTTCAGGCCTAATTTTTTAAAATAATAATAATTTGGTAATACCCCATGGACAATTTCAATACCTGTCTTAGGCCACAGCAAAGTGGCAGCAATAGGTGCTTCACTCCATTCCCTCTCCCTCGCTGCTTGTTTCTGCCACTCTTAATTTCTTCAGTTAAATCTGTTCCCTGACCTGGTTCATCTCATAGACAAGAAGTGCAAGTTTTTGAGTTGAGATGCTGTACAAATGTACAAAAACTTGCACCTTCAGCATAAAGTGGCAATTTCCAGCCTAAGCTAAAGTGCCTATACAGACTGTGTAAGTGAGCTTGACTTAAAGCATAAACAAACAGCTGTCTGAAGGTTTTTCTGTATGAATACTGAGATGCACATTAGGGTTGGGTAATAACATTTGTCAGAATACAGTTAAAGTTGCTACATAGCTCTATTCTGAAATTTTTATGGGCACAGTTTCTAACACTAGAAATTCTTGAAAATCTGCTTACACAGTTTCAGTTCTGCTGTTGTATTTCACCACGCAACCCCAGCAATGGCAACACCGTCACAAAAAGCTGACAGCCTCAGACAGAAGCATCCCAGGGGCAGGAACATCTTTGTTCATAATTCACCATGCAAATTACACCCACTGTAGGTGCAAGACTAAGAGATCAAACTTCAAGCTTGTGAAAGGAGCTATATTTTTTGCTGAAATGGGTGGCATCTTGACTTTTACCTGTGGCTAGCTGGTCTCTTACTTTCATTCTGTGTTTTCTAACTCTCATCTGTATAGTACTACCTACCAAATGTATAACTCATCACAAATCCAGGCAACTCCCAAACTAAATCACTGTGAAATTCAACCAGCACAAAGTTCCCAGTGGAAGTAAAGTCTGCAACCTCCTCTGTCCCACAGTAAGGGCCAACTGCAGGTGATGTAGGTCGGCTTCCATCATGTATGAGCAAGTAGTCATAGATGCATCTGTCACTATCTTCCAGTTCAAAGGATAACATTTTGAGAGATATCTGGAAAAAATAAAACCAAAGCACTTTGCCTCCAGGTTACGTGCTTTTCTCTTACCCTTTGTATATAGCAAGCACAAATAGTCTAAATTCCTTGTGTGCAGGCACTGTTTTATATCCTGTGTTTGCACCTGATCCCATATTGTAAGGCAGATTAGTAGCAAATTATTTGCTTAGTTCATCAGCATTTGGATTGGAAGGAGAAGCAAGGGACGAGATTGGTCTTGCACACTTTAAATTCTTTTCTCTAGAGAAATATGAAAACAGCACCTGTGTAGTGTTTCATTTTTCTAGAGGGAACTTTTACCTAGGGATTATTCTGAACAAAGCCTGCTGGTACAAGCTAAATTAATGAGACTTGACGCATATGTGTAAAGGTTTTCCCTTGCTGAACACCTCAGATTCCAAGATCCAGCACAAGTTTTTAAATTGGGTTCGTTCAGATTTTTACTCTGAGAATGCCTGCTCAAAAAGTGACACTACAGCTGTTATTCTCTAAGGCAAAAGAAGATTCCATCAGACAACACTGATGCAACCCACAAATGAATTCATCTGCGCCTTACCTTGTATCCTACTGGAGAACTGATGACCCAGAAGCAGGCTCGGTTTTTGGGGTATTTATTGGGGTAGTTTGGAGAGGTGATGACTCCCCTTGAGTCTGTGAAAGTATCTCCACAATTCACTGAGGAGTAAAGGAGAAAAACAGAGAAAGGCATATTAACAAGAGTATTTTGGCAGTAGAAGTGAGCTTGCTTATTGTGTTCTTTTCTTCAAGCCAAGAAAAAATGTGCTACCATGAAAATCTACTGCTGAAATATTTTATTTCTTTGCCTAGTATTTGTATCAGCAGCAGTACTGAAGGAACTAAAGACATGGCTGCTAAATAACCTTTGGAGGACAGCAAGCAGCTGCATCTAAAGCTATATCTGTCATTACAATTGAGTGTTACCAGATTAGCATAGATTCTAATGGTACTAACTTATTGCACTTTCAAAAAAATAATTAGCTCAAGTATTCAAGATTGCATTATCAAGCTGGATGCAATGCTATCTAGAAATGACTCCATCAAGACTAATGAAAAAAGGGTAAAAATGACACATTTCTAAGACTTCTTCAGTTTATGCTTTTAAAAAGTTTGCATTTTGAGTTGAAATAAGGCAATAACAAGTTATGATAAGGCCAATAACCGTATCCTGGGCTGCATCAAGAGAAGCATGGCCAACAGGTCGAGGGAGGGGATTCTCCCCCTCTACTCTCATGAAGCCCTACCTGGAGTGCTGTGTCCAGTTCTGCAGCCCCCAACACAAGAGAGACATGGACCAGTTAGAACAAGGCCAGAGGAGGCCACGAGGATGATCCAAGGGCTGGAGCGCTGTGAGGACAGGCTGAGAGAGTTGGGGCTGTTCAGCCTGGAGAAGGCTCCAGGGAGACCTTCTAGCGGCCTTCCAGTACCTTAAGGGGCTACAGGAAGCTGGGGAGGGACTTTTTACAAAGGCAGGTAGTGACAGAACAAGGGGAAATGGCTTTAGACTGGAAGAGGGGAGATTTCGATTACACATTAGGAAGAAGTTTTTCACTGTGAGGGTGGTCAGACACTGGAACAGGTTGCCCAGAGAAGCTGTGGCTGCTCCTCCCTGAAAGTGTTCAAGGCCAGGTTGGATGAGGCTTTGAGCAACCTGGTCTAGTGGAAGGTGTCCCTGCTGATGGCAGAGGGGGTGGAACTGGATGATCTTCAAGGTCCCTTCCTACCCAAAGCATTCTGTGATTCTATTTGGGCTACTGCCTTCTACCTGAAAGCATGTTGCAGCACAACAGAATTTTATCCAGCAGTCTGTAATGCATTTGTACGTCCATAAAATTGCCACCTCTCAAGTGACTGCAGTAAGAGCTGTGTTTCCAGGAATATAACAAAAGCCTTTAATTCATAAAGTGTAAGTCACCCAAGGTTTGTACCACTCCCATTGCATAAAATGCCACAAAACCTTGAATAACCTATTGCCCAGATACTGGAATTGGTCAAGGTTTCTCGTTGAGTTCTGCAGTCTTTGTGCTCTTTGCCTGCTCTGCTCCTCTACAGTCATTGCCTTGTTTTTATTTAATGAAATTGTTCTCAAGACGTGAATAAGCCTCGCAGAGGTGCTCAGAAGAACATGGGTTCTCAGGATTACTAACATAAGACCCATGCACCATCCCATTTTCTGCTTCCTCCTGACCTTCAGGAGGTGCTCAGAAGAACATGGGTTCTCAGAGTTTACTAACTAAGAGTGGGTTCTCAGGATTACTAACATAAGACCCATGCACCATCCCATTTTCTGTTTCCTCCTGACCTTCAGCCCCATCACTGCCTCACCTTCTGCATTAGCAATTGCTATGGAAGTGTAAAGAAGAAACCTACTCTGGAGTACATATTCAACATTTTCAGCTCTTCCATACAAACACTACGAATGCTGCTCTCCAAGCTCTGTAAGGGAGTGTTCATACCCCTGTTGTAGGAGGCTCTGAATCCTGTGGCTGTTACACTCCCATCACTTGCAAACTCTACCAGCATTGTCGATCCAGATGTCACTAAGGAGGGCAGCGGCCCCTTCCCACAGTATTTGTCCAGCAAGACAGGGGAATTCTTGCTGTTTCCGTTGTAAATTTTTATATAGTCAGAAGAACAGTCTGAGGAGGGTTGGAGATCAAAAGCCTCAAACTGCAGGAAAATCTTGAGAAACAAGAAAACAGAAGTTGGGTTTAATGCTGTACACAGGGAAAGATGCAAACAATCTGTTATAAAGTGAACTAAGACTTTGCATTCATTTTACTATCCATGTATCACTGAAATTTTACTTTCTGTATCACAAAAGCATAGAATTTCACTTCGCTCCACTGTTACTGAGCCCGGTGATTGATGTTTAACTATTCATAAGGGCAATTAATGACAAAACAAGGGGAAATGGGTGTAAACTGAAAGAGGGGAGGTTTAGATTAGATATTAGGTAGAAGTTCTTCACTGTGAGGGTGGTGAGACACTGGAACAGGTTGCCCAGAGAAGCTGTGGCTGCGCCTCCCTGGAAGTGATGAAGGCCAGGCTGGATGAGGCTTTGAGCAACCTGGTCTAGTGGAAGGTGTCCCTGCTGATGGCAGGGGGGTTGGAACTGGATGAGCTTTAAGGTCCTTTCCAATCCAAACCATTCTATGATTCTATGAACTATTCCTTGTCTTTGAAAAGCCATCCAATCATAACAGGATAAAAATCAAGTTAAATAATGCATCTGATAGTCTTAATAAGTCTTATGAAAATTGTTGAGACTGTCTTTTCATTCACTGTGTAACAAAATAAATGTCATGGTCCATGAAAATGACTCCTAGAGGGTAGTCATAATAATGAAATAATGCTGTGTAGCCTTGACACTGTGGTTCAAACCTTTTTTTCTCCTAATAAAAATTACCTTGCTTCGATGGATGCGGATCAACCACAGGCAGTTGCTATTGTTTGGGTATGGGGATGGGTAATTGACAGAAGAGAACGAACCTTTGGATTTAGGCAACACAGAACTGCAGCAATCTGAAGGGAAGAACCAAACAGTGTTGAAGAGAATAAAAAAACTGCACCAAAACCTTCCAGAAACACTTGACAAGTCTCTCCAGCCATTTGCATCAGTCAAGCTTCTAAAAGGGAGATGCATTATAATGCTTACAGGTGTGTCAGTGTTCCTAGTGTAAGAGTTACTCAAAATCTGTGAGTGAAATAAAGCCAGTTAAGGTACTTATCTGCTTCACATGCTAATATTTTAAAGACAGTAGGGCTTCACTCACATATTTTAGTTTACTAAAAAAGGCCTGGATTTTACATGAACTTTTTAAACCTGAATCACGGGAGTAGTTTCAATTATATCAGGACATGAATTCCCATCAGCAAGTGTGTGTATATTCATAAGTGTGTGTGTATTCATAAGTGTGTGCAAAAATCAAGCTTGAAAACTAGATTCTGCCAAAGCAAAGAGGGATAGTCACTGGGGAAAACAATACCAAAGAGCAGTGAAGTCAAGCTGCAGACTTAGTGACTGGTATAAAAGTCTGATCTCTTCTGTGTTTTGTCTTTCCACATGTAGTCTTCATTTATTGCACTATGTGTAACTCCCCAAATTACAATATATGAATATATGGTATCTGAACATATGAACTTAATGACATTTCTCTCTTGCTCCCTCCTTTCCTGAGCCAACCAGACTTTTGTCCCTTTTTTTAGCCCCTGAGTTTTTCTTTCCCCTCCCCCTTTTCTTTTCAATTCAACCCTTTTCTTCCAAAACATACAGATCTAATTACGAAATTATGTAATATTAGTATTGAAGTGTGATTCATTCCTAGCCCCACTATCAAGAATAAATGTCATTAAAGATCTGTTATCACTATCTTTGAGACCATGACAGACACTTACATTGTAAACTTGTCTGTAGTTAAGAATTCAGGAGGAACCAGTTTCAACAATGATTTCTGTACCTAAGTATCCAACTGAAGGAATGCTGATTTCCACTGATTACTGATGTTTATTTAACTTAGTTCTAACACAATTCAGAGCGGAATTTGGTACACTAATATTTAGGCCACGTTAATGTTTCTTGCTGTTTTGGTCGAAACTAATTGAATAACATCTCAGAAAAATCAAATACCGTATAAATCAATTAGCCTGTGCACTGGGAGTGGAGGCAAAATCCATGAGTTACAGGAGCATGTCTGGTGTTTTACCTGCTTTTTGTGTATCTCAGCTGAAAAGTTCCTGCTACAGAGGAATGCTAGGTATTTCTAGACTTTAAGATACCACTGTGATGAGTTAAGAAATGGATGGGGCAAGGAAGGAGGTAATTATACAAAAAGCCTGGGGAATCAGAGAAGGAGACATCTCAGATGTCCTGGTCAGCCGAAATGGCACCCATTTACAGCCCTGCAGTCATTTGTTAATTAAAAGAAATCACAGACTCGTGGGCACTGCTGATGCACATGACTAAGCTATCAGCTGAGGATATCTCACATGCTCTGCAACCTTCAGAGCTTTCCTGAAATGAGAAGTTGTCAGAGGTAGCAACCCTGATTTCTCTGATGGGTTTTGCTTATGTTGAAGAGCAGGGACTAGGTGAGGATAACTCAGAGTGACAGTGAATTATTGAAAGTAAATTGTCCTTTCCAAGAAGGCAGCAGCTTGGCACAGGGACAGGTCTGTTTCCACACACATACCAGCCCTCTTGTAGGGCAGGGGAAATATTTATTGAAAGGACTGTGGGCTGAGTTCCTTTGGGGGGGATCTCTGACAGTGCCTACAGACATCAGCTGTATAAGGATTCACGTGCCTTTATCTACAGCACTTACTGCACTTGTAGAGCTTGTTGATTTTAGCTACATCCAAGTTACTCAACCCTTCTCTCTGCCCAATGGGTATAGAGGGGTCAGGAACTGGTACAATAGTTGGTTTCCCTGGAGTGCTGGAGAAATCATACCTGTAGAAATAAGGAAGTCACATTTCTAGATCATTTCTCTTAAACAGTGAAGTCCTCTAACTGCATAACCATAGTCATGTACCACATGCACAGAATTTCAATGGAAAAGGGCAAGAAACTTCTCAGAGGCCAGTTAGTTTTCTCTGAAGAGGACCAGCATGGCACCTATTTTGTATGCAGCAGCTGAAAGCAAGAAACAAGAAAAAGCTGCACTGTCCTGAGTGAGGAGAGACTTCACCAGTGTCCTGGCAAATGAAGTAAATCCCACCTTCATGGTTCCAGAGGCAGAGGAGCAGGAGTAGTTCTAAGTTACAAATTGTTTCTTTGCTGTCTGCAATTTCCTGCCTCCTACGAGACAAGTTTTATTTCACGGCTTTGTTCAGTTGCTGTTACTTGCCAGTGGAAATAAAGGAGGTACATGATACCAGCTTGTACAGTATGGACTAAAATGCAGCCTTAGACAGCGTTCCCAGATGAGGCAGCACACATCTTAATGATATAAACCAATTCCATCTTCCTTCTCTGTGTACCTAACCATTGTTGTCTATGATCAGCTGTCACTATATTAATTAAATAATTTAGGCTTCAGAACCAATTTAGATCAGTGACTCAGTAGAGTTAGACTTTGGACCACAGCCATGTCAAAGGCCTCTAGCAAGAGGCAAGTACAGTGAAAGAAAACATTGTCCTAATTTTTTCTTCTATCCACATCAACTCTGTTTTCCAGGAATCCCGCTGACAAAGGAAGTACACTTACCCTTAATTATGTCCATTCACTTAATTTTAAGGGAACAGCAAAAGTAATTCCCTGCACAGAGCAATTCCTTCTTCCTAGATCTGAGCAGAAGATCTGAAAGCTGTTTGCTCCTTTGAAAAGACATCTCAGAAAACAACTTACGCGCCGTAGTGCATCACTGAGGAGTAGTCATAGGGAAGGCCCAGATTTTTGGATTTCACTTTTCCAAAGTTCCCCTGTTCCCCTGTAAGGTAAGGAAGCAACTTTTCAGTCACAACAATTACTGCTGCTCTAATAGTACACTGCCTGCTGTCATACTCCTAAGAGCAGCTTAGGATACAAATACTTATTCTCATGAAATCTTGGATCTATCAAAACCACCAGAGCCTTTTAAAATCCATGGGAACCCATTTTCACTTAGTCTAGTAGGTTTCAGAATGTAAACCAAATCAAATAAGTCCAAGTTCTGATATAATCAATTAATCCATTCCTCTCTTCAAGTAAAGGTATTCATCTGTCCATCTTCATTAGGGTGTCTCCAAATATACGCCAGTGCATTATTGTGACTGTGTCCCCAAAGCTGCATCCATACCTTGAGAGGGAAATCTGGCTGACCACCAAGATCAAAAATTCAGAGGTATGTGTGGGTGATGACCAGCCTGTCCTGCTGAGTCCTTTCACCACAGGGATATAAGGCCACAAAAGAAAGACATACAATTTTCCTGTTACTCACACCAAAGGAGATGTTATCAGCCATGTTCTGGCTTTCTCTCTGGTCAAACCCATCAGCAGTGGCTACAGTGAAGTGATAGGACTTGCATGAAGCAAGGGCGCTCAGTAAGATCAGCTGGAAACATTCTGTCTGAATAGAGCTGCTGATATAGCCCCTCTCATCACAGCTGCTGAGCATCTCATCTCTTTTCATCTGCTTAGCCTTAAAAAGCCCATATGAAGTAAGAAAGCGTGACACTGATACGTGACTGGGGCCCAGAGACACAGACTGGAATTCATGTCACCTAGCTTTATTTCTCTAAGTTAGGCACTGAAGCTGTTTATCAAGGCTCCCAGGATAGTCAGAAGAGAAGGAGAAAGAGAGATACACACACACACACACACACAGTTGGAGTGAGTTTCATCTGAAGGCACCTATTTATCTCCACTGACTGAAGAGGATGCACAGATTGCACCCTGGGTCTCCTGTCCACGGTAAGACAAGCGAAGCAATGTCAGAGCAGGGAGCTAAGTACAGTCAGCCTGGCCTTGAGGCCAGTGCCCTAACCACTGAGCACTCCTTTCCAGTTCAACATCTGTACCTTCATTATTGTAACTAGTGGTTTGTAAACCACAAACCATCTGGACGAGTTCAGCATTGGACACTTGTCAGAAAAATCTCTGGAGTCTGCACAACTTGGCTGGCAGGCTTGCAATCAGAGCCAGTCTTTTCCAGTAATGTCCTTCAGCACTGGTCCCACTGAGGGCTAGGAAATGCAAAGAGAAGCTTCAAAATCCTGAATTATAGAAAGTTCAGGGATAAACACGACTTTGGAGCTTTTCATAGCTCAAAAACTCAGTTAAGGCTCAAACTGGTTCTCAACAGCATTGGCTTTCCCAGCTCTTAGGTTTTATCTCAGTTCCTCTTATCTGCAATACTGACTTCAGAAAGAATTATCGACAAGTGCACAGCTTCTTTTGAGGTGATGAACAGAGAACACAGTTCAAATGCAGTGAAACATTTAAGCATATGGCTACTGTTTGGCACATAAATGCTTTCCTGGATTGGTTGGCTGAAAAAGAAAAAGTAACAGGAGCCTGGCTGGACAGAGGCACTGCCAGCAAACTAGGATCTGCCTCATCACATGCCAGAGAGATTTAGCTGTCTCGACCTGCACATGTGTGGGGACTTCAACCAACTTTTCCACTCTAAAAAAAAAAAATCTACCTCTGCCAGAATGTAAGTGTAATGACTCAGAAGAGCTGAAAAGGAAGTTTTGGCTGAAGACTCCGAATACAGTTTTTTCCCCAAAAAAGTTTGGGAAAAACAAGCTGAGTTTCAAGTAGTTAAGTGGACAGCAACTGATCAGGCTGCATTTTGTCAAAACAAAGAAGTAGGATGGCTTCCAAGGTGAATTGCTGGGTACAAACAAAACCCAGCAAATATCCACAGGATTGCAGTCCTGGCAAGAGAAAACCAGCTTGTGTGGGAGAGCTGGGAAGCTGCAAAAGGTCTCGAGGTCTAGTTCTGCACCACTGAGGTCGGGGGAGCTCTGCCATCAGCACTGTTAACAAGCAGCATGTTTTTACAGGAGGTGTACTCACAGTCCTCAGGAACATAGCTGTGTTTCTTCGTTTCCTTTCCCTGCATATCT